TCTCTCTCTCTCTATTTATTTACACACACACAGACACACAGACACACACACACACACACACACACGGTCAGATCCTCAGCTGCGGTAAACTGGAGTAGTTCCATTGACTGATCTACACCAGATGAGGATCCAGTCCATGATAATTTTTATTTAAACTGCAGCATTACATTTCGTTGTGCGGGATGAACTCCTTGCTCTGTAATTAGACCAGATGCATTTTATACCATTTATACAGAAACACACTTCTTCTTTTGCATGGAAATGGCAACATTTACAAGTCAGCAGAAAGGTTTGAAATCCATTTGAGGGCTTCAGAAGATGCAGGGTGCACTTTTGCTATACTTCCTGGAAATGAAAAAAGGGGGCACTTGTTCACAATGTGTTCAGTGGTTTGGAGGTCTCTACATCTGCACTGTGGCAAATACTTGGTGCATCAGATGTGCACATCTTCCATGTAACGTCCTAGTACAGCTATCCATAATTACAACAACAAAAGATTTCCCCACACAAAAGAACTGAAGTAAATTCATTGTCTCCCCACAGGAGTTGCATCAGAACAAAGCAGCACTGTTCAGCCTGGCGATGAGCTATTGCAAGTGCACACAATTGTTATGCAAGGACTCACCCGTTTTGAAGCTTGGAATATCATCAAGGCATTACCTGATGGGCCCATCACTGCTATCATCAAGAGGAAAAATCCAAGTTCTGTTACCACCAAATCATCTGAAACTTTGCAAGGAGAAGAATGAAACTGCTGCCAGTATTAAAACAAACAAACAAACCAACCCAGAACATTTCATTACTTAAAGCCATTTACCAACACAGCAGAGATATTGTGAAAGTGCAGATGATCATATTGCAAGTTTTACAGATGTCTTTGCAACCTCAAAGCAAGTTGTCTGGAATAAGAGACTGATATAAAATGCTCACAACTCCTTTTACAATATTCATAAGCAGCTGTTGAAAACTGTAGAAGACTAAAAAAGGGTCTTCATATAATGAGTGTAATAAAATGTGTGAAAATTGCAGTACTCTCTATCCCATGTAAATCAATTTGATGGTGTCATAGAGTAGCGTGCAAAGTTAATTTAACCACCAAATTTAAGGAAAATTAGAAACAGGCCAAAACCCTAAGGCAGATTCTCAGTCCTGCTCCAGAGACTGACCACAAACCCTAGCTGGGGACTCCGTAACATAGGGTAGCTCTCGGTGGGTGCAGAATAGAAATGGTTGGCTCCTAAATTTCTCTCCCCACAGCTTCCAGCACATGGGGAAGGGAGGAAGACAGGGCAAGTAGCCAAAGAAGGATGGGCTCTATCCAGCACAAAGGAGCCAGGGCCGCCCAGTGGAGAAGGGGAATTCTTTGCTAGCATAAAGCTGGCTCTGCTGCCTTCTACACCAATTGCCCCACACCCCCATTGTAAGGGGGAAAAGAGGATGTTTGGGGGTATTCTGGGGTCACGAGAGGGAGAGGAGAGGACGGGACAGGACGTAGCAGAGCTCCATCTTATCTTCCCCTGGTGTAACAGTCGGACACATAAGTTAGAGTTGCACTGGACAGCAATCATTTGCTCAGTGGCCAAGCAGCCCTGAAACAAGGAGTGACTAGTTCTCTGCAGCGCCCCCACCCCTAAATCGGACGAAGTAGAGAATCAAGCTAATATAAATGCAAATCTCCTTTGTCTGAGCGAGAATTGAGCACATGCATCTGAAGAATATTGTACCGCAGCACAGTATTTACTGTGAAACATACCCAGGCATTGCGTTGTGAATTAAAAATATCCTCAGTACAGGGTTGAGAATTTTGACAGGCATTCAGGGATTGCTCTGCTCAGTGCTGCAATGCCTACATGATTCAGGAGCCTAAGTCATCAAAAGTCACATTTCATTGAAAGTCAATGGGTCCCTAAGTGTCGACGTCACCTCTGAAAATGAGACTTAGGCCCTGAACACTGAGCAAAGCAATACCTAAATACTTTTAAAAATCTGGCCCAGAGGAATGAGGACATTTAGAACTGAACCTGGTTGTCTGAATATATAGTTTGTGTAATTTTTAACATCACTGCATTAGTATTTTAAATGAAAATATCAGTGATTGATTATGGGATTTAAGGCTCATTGAGCCAGTTGGTGACTGGAAATACTAAATACCTTGGGGACAGATCTGGCATTGATGGTTACACAAGGCATGCCATTGCTTCAAATGGAGAGTTCTGTGCAAAATAGTGTACTACAGCATCTTTGTCAAGGTTTGTAAGTACCCCCAAGATTTGACCAGTCTTCAATACCTACTAGTACAGTACCCTGGAAGATATTACCTCCTTGATCTCCTCCATGTATTTCTATCACTTATAATAGAATTTAAATTAACAGAAAGTTAATGAAACTAACTTATTTGCTTAATTTATTATTGTGCTAAAAGACAAGAAGGGAACAAATTCTGTGATTCGTGCTAGTTCAGATACAGTAAACGAATGCATAATCAATATGAATGACAAAAAAAAAGCCCTAAGAGCATTGGAATCGGTGGTTCAACAGTCCAACTATTTCCCCCCCCCCCTCTTTGTTTAAAGAGATGTTGCTGACGGCAGCACCAAGCATGGATTGTTCCACTGTTACCACTGCTAGTACAATTTTAAGGTTTTGTTATTTTTAAAGTATACAACGGCCTTAAACACTGAGACAAGTTTTTGCACATTTTTATTGGCCCCACATTTTCAAAACAAGTCTCTTATTGTTTACATGCACCTAGCACTGCATTATCATTATGATTTGTATTATCAGATTCACCCAGGAGCCCCAGTCATGGACCAGAGTCGTCTTATACAAGATGCTGTACAAACGGAACAAAAAGACAGTCCCTGCTCCAAAGAGCTGTCTTATGACAGATGAAGTTGCTGCTTAGTTTGGTCAAGACAATGCCTCTTTGCCCTGTGGTCCTTTTGGTCTCCTCAGACCTGCTTTGTTAATATAGGGACATAACATTAAGATCACTGATTATTACATACCACGGTGTTAATCCTAAAGGGCAGGTTCCTGAAAAGCACAAAAGCAATTGTTATTCTTTAATCAACAGTCAAAAGAAATATTGTAGCAATAGGCAATGTGAAGAGAAGCAATACAAGAGTCTAGTCAAGCCATGACTACCTTTTTTTGCACAGTATATATTTTACAATTTCCTGTTTAGCGCTCTCTCTATGTGAAATCTCATCTGGTTAGCCACTTCTAAGTAAGTATCATTTCCACAGTGTGTATACAGGAAGATCAAAATTTTAAAAGCAGCTGTCCATACAGATCAGTGGTTCTCAACCTGGAGTATGCGTATTCCTAGGGATATGCAGAGGTCTTCTGCGGGGTACATCAACTTATCTAGATATTGGCTAATTTTACACCAGCCTACATAAAAAGCACTAGCAAAGTCAGTACAAGCTACAATTTCATATAGACAATGACTTGTTTATACTGCTCTATATACTATACACTGAAATGTAGGTACAATATTTATATTCCAATTGATTTATTTTACAATTATATGGTAAAAATGAAAAAGTCAGCAGTTTTTCAGTAATAGTGTGGCTGTGACACTTTTGTATTTTTATGTTTGTTTTGTAAACAAGTAGTTTTTAAGTGAGGTAAAACTTGGGGGTACGCAAGACAAATCAAACTCCTATACAGGAGTCTGGAAAGGTTGAGAGCCACTGATACAGATAACATGAAAAATCTGAATCAATGATCACTTTAGCAGCTGTCCAGTGAAGCAGGCCCTGAGCTCGTTAGCTCTGTTCTGGCTCAAGTCTGCAAAAGCCAGGTCAAACTCTTTTTGTGGGTTTTCACAGCCTTGCTCAGAAAGACTGAGAGATTGTATTAGATAACAGTCCTTGTACAGGGCAGAAAGAGAGAGATTGTATTAGATAACAGTCCTTGTACAGGGCAGAGAGAGAGAGATTGTATTAGATAACAGTCCATGTACAGGGCGGCCTGCAGTAGCATCAGCTTTAGTCATTAAACAAAAAAATCATCCAAAACTTCAACCAAGCTTTTCAAAGGTTGTAATAATTTCAGATCACCTGCCTGCTCCTTCCTCTCCTGGCTACCAGTCTTTTAGGTTTCTGAACCTCTGCATTTCCTGGTTCTGGCTGACACCAAAAACGGAAATGTCAATGTACCATGTAAAACAGAAGTGTCTCCCAGTAGTCCAGTCTCTCCCAAAGCAGGAAGTCCCAGAAATCTTACAAGACAGCCTGTACTTACAAATTTCCAGCCTACTTTGGCAGAGTAGAGGGCTCATGGAGCAGTCCGGTGATGGGCTGAACACCCTCAGATCTTGTTGAACCGCGTGTGCTCAGCACATCACAGGACCAATCCTTTAAATTGTTCAGATTCTGGTTCTGTCCCTCTGACCAATATTTATTCATGGGTAATGCCGTTGACCTCAAAAGGACTACAGGCATGAGTGAAGGTGGTTGGATCAGGCCTAAGGTTTAGATAAACCCTTGATCTTTTGAGTGCTTGAACAACACAAGGCCCTCATCCTGCAAAAACTTTACACACGTACTTAACTTTACACACCTTGAGTTGTCCTACTGACCACTCACTGTGCATAAAGTTAAGCATGAACCTAAGCCTTTGCAGGACAGGCGCCCAAACCACTCTCTCACAAAGTCACTTGTCATTCTTCAGAGTTGCAGTATGCAGCAGTCTAAGTTAAAAACAAAAAAATCCAAAAAACTCGGACTAGACAAAAGCTGAAGGGCTCAATCCTGCAAGATGCTGAGTACTCTCCCCCCCTCACTAAAATATCTACCTAAGGACTCATCCTGCAGCCATCTCCATAGTGTCCGAGTAGCTAAGGGCATTCACAACCTCACAGGATTGGCCTTAAGCTCCAACAGAGCATGGAGCAATCTTGAAAGGTGCAGAGCTCCTTTGAGTCTCATTGGCAATGGGCGTTGAGGGGACACTATGACAGAGTTAAAGGATAATTCAGAAGAACAAAAATGTGAAACAGAAAATATTTTATTTAATTTGCAACACACACTGGCAAGTTTTAAAAATGCCAGTCACAAAAGAGACTAAAATTTAACCCCCCTTCCCTAAAATTCTATTATATACATTAAAAACTACAGTGGAAATATTTGTACATAAATGTTCCACAAACCACACCACATATGCAACAAACACAAGAACGGAAATTTAAATGTATTAACATAAATAAATACTTAAAGTAAAAGCATGAAAATTACAACCTGATTTACATGTTTGCAACTCAACAATCATAAATTATCATTTTTTCTTTTATAAAAGGATAAATGAATAGTATGCTGTTTATAATAACTTCTGACATTACCTAAGTAACCAGCTACATAAATATTTTCGATGGCTGCATACTGCACTGCATATTACACCAATAGCTGATTTCCTAAGATATGCTGTGGGGTGTGTCAGTCTTGGAGACATAAACAAGAAGGTCCTACTTTTATGAACAAGCAAGTCAAGATTAGTCCACAGCACTTTACAGAAAGGACTTTTCACAAGTTCACAACACTTTGAACAACATATTGGAAAATTGTTCAAATGCATGATCATTTCAAATGCAGTTAGAAAAATGACAAGTAAAGTGCTTCAATACATCTCTTTATTTATTGCCATTATGTCAGTGCAGTATGACAATTTGTAATCAGAATTTTTGGGTAGAGAGGGGATGATGGGAGAGGACAAGGCCCAGGGATCTGTGAATTGGTTGAGGATATTAGGCTCTGATTCAGCAAAACACTTAAGTATATGCTTAACATTAGCACTGAAGTCAGTCCGACTTCAGCACATGCTGAATCAGGCCCTTATAGTCTAGAATGAGTGGTCCATACGTTCTCACCTACCCTATTCATTGTGGTCTACCCCATTTTTTGTGTTGGTCCCAATGTAATATCTCAAACTATACTGATGTAAGCAGCAAAAGAGCTAGCTCTTCCCCTTCAAGAAAGGAACATCGTTTCATATGGGTCATTAGGTAGAATCTGAGATATAACCGGGCTCCCTCGGATCTGACTTATACTGGTGGAACTACATTGACTTCAGCAGAGCTGCTCCTGGTTTTACTCCTGGGGCAATTCTGCGCCCATGCATAATTCATGTCTCCCGCAGATTTCTTTGCTTCCCCGCAGAAAATGATTTTCTGATAAGGAAGCAAAGGGAAGCTGCAAGAGCGGTCACGCACTCTTCCCTAGCAGTGCAGGCACATCGTTTCAGGCATCTGGAGCAGCTGGTGGAGAGGTAAATCACCATGGTGACTCCTACCCTGCACCGGAATCAGCTGCTAGACCCACACCAGAAACCTCCCCTGGCTGTAGGAAGCTCAGCATCCTCAGCTGCGGGGGATGGGTTGCTGTACTGGGAGCTGCTCCCCCCCCACCAATCCTCACCCCATACACCCAGATCCCCCCCAGCCCTCCATACCTGAACCTCATCCTGCTGAACCTAAACCCCTGCATCTAGAGCCCCCCTGTATCCAGACCACCCTGCAACTGAATCACCCCGACGAGCCCCCCACCCCACTGAACCCCAGCTAGCTGTACCTGGATCCCCAATCCCCCAGCACCCAGACCCCTCCCGCCGAGCCCCCCCCCCCGACCCCCCACCTCGAGGCCCAACCACCGTCACCTGGAACCCCCTGCAGAGTCCCATTGCCCCTGCACCTGGAACCCCCCCCTCCCCCAAGAGCCTCTGCATCCAGATTCCACCCACCCAGACCCCTCACTGATCAGTCTGCACCCAGATTGCTCAATACAGAACCTTCTCACTCCACACCAAGCCCCTCCACACTTAGATCCTGCCTGGTTGAGCCTGCCTGCCTCACACCTGGTGCATCTGGCACAGAGGATCAGGGCCCTGGGGTGTTTCTGAGGCAGGCCCAGCCCTGATGCTGTGTCAGGGTTGAGTGCAACCTTACCACCGAGGTAGTGTCCTGAGATGGGGGAGGGAGGCTGTGCAGCCAGTTGTCTGTGCTCCTCACTGTCATGCTGGAGCCTCCACATTTGTTTGACAAATAAAACTTGCAGAATTTTAAAATAGTGTGTGCATAAATTTTTAGAATTTTTAATTTTTTGGCGCAGAATTCCCTCAGGAGTAACCTGGTTTACACTGATGAAGTATGATCATAAACAGGCCTGAAGTGTGGCTTTTGCTCCAGGAGGGGGCAGCAGAACTTCCTCTAGAATACTGTTAGTTGCTGAAATAATGTCACTTATTTTAATAGTTACAAAAATACAGTATGACAAGGTAGTGCATTTTTAAACAGAAAGGCAGGTACAAAAATAGTAAATCCTATATTAAAAATGGACTTTGCGACTTTGTTCCCACTTCAACTTTCCTACATATCTATATTGTTAGAAAGGCATTGTAGGTCGGTTTCTGATCCCATCATTTCTTCCATTTTTATCTTAATCTAATCTGTTATGCCAGCAATAATAGCCTTTCTTACCCTCCCTTCTAAGTCCCAGCAATGAGACTCGGATTTCCTTTGAGAAAATGCCTCTCAAGTTTTCACTGTCTTTACCGCTTTGGTCAGATTGCTGTAAAATCCAGCCATGCTGCTCGGAAAGAATGAGTCCACTACAGTCTGGGGAAGATAGCCACCAAGATCCGTCTGAAAGAAAGTGAGGACTTGGGTCTTGTCTGGTTCCCTGAGAAAACAAAACATCAGTGCAAGTTATCTTACAACCAGAAGTGTAAAATATTAAGGACTTTATGAGATTTCTTATCTTTGGGATGTGTTATCTATGGATAAATATTTCTATGCCTTTTCCATAGAATGGGCACAAAGCAAACTTCCCGATTACTCTCCCATCAATGTGCCTTTACCTACCCCTACAAGGAAAGGATAGTAAATTTCCCAATTAATTTAGGCCCTGATTCAGCAGAGCACTTAAGTATATGCTGAACTTTAAGTATGTGAATTGCCTCTGAAGTCAGTGGGACTACTCATAAAATTAAGCACATGTTTATGTGTTCTACTGAATCAGATTCTTAATCCTTGGCTTCTCAGCTAAGAATGCCAACAAGGATACCCACTGTGATGATAGTTTCTGTAATGTTAACAGATGTCCACTAGGAAATGGAAAAAAGAGACTAACTCATTTCACCTGGAGCATTGAACATCACTCAGTTTTAATGACAATGTCTACCAGCCACAACCAGATATAAACCAGTAACTGCCAGAGGGTTCTCTCTTGAATGGTGCACATTAATACATACACATGATAGCTATGGATAGGACTTTCAAGTACAGCATATGTAATATTCAAATAGACTTCTTACCCTGGAACAGGTATACAGAAACAACCACAGGGATAATTAAACCCTCTCACGTATCTTGGTTGGGGAGGACAGAGTGCATGTTCCACATTGGTTGCTATAAGAAAAAAAATCACTTTAACAGTAAAAGTTTTCTGCCACAGTAAACACCACCAGCTGAAAGGCATTTATGATGAAAGCTAGTCAAAGATTCTTGAGGTTGATGTTCTTTGGCCTGTATTATGCATGGTGATCATAACATGGCTATCTGGGGGGAGGGATTGCTCAGTGGTTTGAGCATTGGCCTGCTAAACCCAGGGTTGTGAGTTCAATCCTTCAAGGGGCCACTTAGGGATCTGGGGCAAAAATCAGTACTTGGTCCTGCTAGCGAAGGCAGGGGGCTGGATGACCTTTTGGGGTCCCTTCCAGTTCTATGAGATAGGTATATCTCCATAAAAATAATATTCCCTTCTGGCCATCAAATCTATGAATCAAAGTACTGCATGCATTATAGGAATGATTTCTGCTGGTATGGACTGTACACCAAGGCACTTCAAAAGACATTTATTGGACTTATACAGTATTATGGCACCCAGTGTTTTAATAGTAACCTAAGTTGCTTGCACGCTAATCTAAAAGTAAGATAAATGCATTTCACAAAGATGTTCCTCTCTTGGTCTTTTGAGAAGGCATAATCTCACTGCACATCTCTCTCTCTCTAGAGAGAGAGAGAGAGAGAGAGAGAGAGAGAGAGAGAGAGAGAGAGAGAGAGAGATTCCTGCCTGGTGATCCAAAGAGGGAACTGTGGGGCACTGACACTCTTGACTTAAGACTTAATGAAAGATGTAAATGAACGGGAAGAAAGAAAGATGAATATATGCACATAGTACCAGAAGCTTGAAATAGTTGCTCTCTGCAGGAAAACTAATCATTGTTGGGGTGCTCTATGGGCAAATCTCTTCACGGTCTTTAGTTAAGCAAAACTTAACAGCTTTCAGTACATCCTATGAAGTGTTCAGAGGCAATGCTTCCGAAGGGACTTTCTTAGACACTTCTACGAGTTCTAAAAAATGTACCCAGCTGAATACTAACTGAAATATCTATTCCTTCTCAGAAGAACACTATGAAAAGGAATGATAGGCAAACAGTATAATCATTCACTGAAGAGTGTAAATATTGCTGATATTCTATATGATGATAATGATGTAATTAAGCACTAATACTTGCTAATAACTATTGATTAAGCATCTTCTGACCAAGATTTTTACTGTATATCCAACATATATATATTTTGAAAAACAAAAAGAATATATCCTGAAAGATTTTCAGTTATATTCACTAACTTACTGTTAATATAAAATATAATACAATACAATATAATATAAATGGATTGGAAATTTAAATATTTTACCAGCAGATGCTATAGTCCCGTCTTCATACTGCTTAATTAGCACCACATCTACAAAATCTCTTGGAGAAATAATCTTCATGAAGGCTGATGGGGTAAGAGTTCTGCATATAGAGATAGTCTACAAAATACAAAACATTAAATCACTGTATACGTACATATAAATGCAGTGATGTGCTTCTAACATAGTAAGTGAGAGATTGTGATATCTTTTCTCATGCTTACTTGACAAGCAGTGCCATTTCAGTTACACAAATTTGTGGAATAACTTGCTATTCAGCATGAATAAATGTATCAGCTAAGAGTCTTGACTCGAGCATTTTTGATGGGAAAAATACAGTGATGAGAGGTGGATCCAATGCCATAAGAACAAGCAACACAATGCTCTTTAAGAAGAGAGTCACCCGTGGATACACTCATAGATGTAGTTATTTACAAACTCCAATTTCAGTTAATAACTTTGTTACATCAAACTTGGTGCATAACTTGTTATGCCACAGGAAATTTAACACAGTTCCCCTGTATCTAAACATCTGCTCCACCATGTTATATGTTATATAAGCCGGACAAGTCTGTAAATACAGAATGGAAGACTCTATCATATGTGATTTACAAATGTATCTTTTTGTATTTAATTCTAAATAACTTGAAGATTCTCACAAGCTGATAAAAATAAAGGGCTCTGAAATTCAATTGAATGTTCCCTGCACTCATGCTGGTGTGCTTGAGGTACTGAAGAAAGGCAGGATGAGTTCAATGCAGTATGTGCTGTGATGGCAAAATACCTGAACTAAAGGCTGAGTTAAATATATAAATGACTTTGCATTTGTTGGGTCATGATAAACCTCTTCATTAGTGAAACACAGATTTGTGTATTTTATTTTTTTAAGATTACTTCTTTTACCAATAACTATTGTTTAAAATATTATGAACACTTATAAGAGTTAGCATGATAAAACAATATAACTTTGGAGTCAGTTCTGAAATTAGAATGGTTATAAAGTGTGTATTGTTTAGCCAACAGGCTATAGCTACTCATTCAAAGGGGTTACAGTGTATTGTGTAAATACATGCAAACATTTTAAATCATATGAGATTTACATTGTCAAAATAAAACGATTTTGTACAGCTTGTTCAAAACAAAAGAATTCCTGGTTACCAATTTCTAACAGTGATTTAAGACTGTGAGTGAGATACACACACCAGGCTGCAATACCTTCTTTAGGATTGTAAATATCTGTTTATGTATACACTGTAAGATACAGTATAAGGCACTAAAAATGTGACTGAAAACATAAGGGTCCATTTCCGCTCTCACTGAAACCTCACCTGACATATTTTTGCATAGGTTTAATTATTCCTGGTGCCCCAAGTACATACTTTATTTATTTTTACGATATATTTTTATAGTAATGAGCACATAATTTTCTCTTCAGATTTTTGTAACAGATCTGTTATGTGATGAGAATTTAACCACAATGCTCCTTATCATTTTCATGGAACTTACATCACTAATAGTTTCAATCAGCTCAAAGTCCTTCACATTTTGGTCCCACTTTGTTCTAAGTCCACCAGCTTCTGGTTTTAAGCACTCCCAGACAGCCTCAGGACTCGCAGAGACAATTCCATCTCCTTTGTATCTGTAGGAAAACAAACATGAAACTAAAATTACCTTTGAATTTTTCTCCTGAACAACAGACAAGAGTTATTCGCTCACACACAGACACCCCCTCTCCCCCCTTGTAATTTTGGAATACCTTACTTACATGTTGCCAGAAAACTCAGTTGATGGTCTCCAATAAATTGAAACTTCATTCTATCAAAAGTGAAATAAGTGAAGACAGCCTTCAGACTTGATGTAGCAATTAACAGGCTAATCTCTTTGCCACAGCTAGCTAGCACATTCCAAACCCACGAAAAATGCAGAAATTGGGCTTGGTTTTGGCTTAATTGGCTTGTGAGTTGTTTGTTGGCTAATTTTTGGCTTATAACTTGTTTGGCTTGTAGCTTGTTCCGTCTTTTTTTTGATCAGCTCCCAGCAAGCAGGGGCAAGGGGGGGTGGGAAGTAATGGTGCACAGTGGCCCCACCATCATCCCAGACTGCACACCAGGGGGATCTAGTCACATAGAGTGTTGGGGTTCTTAGGGATTGGCTTGTTTTGAAATGGGATTCGCTTGATTTTTGGCTTATTGTGAAAGTCGGGGAGCTTATTTACCGCGTGAAAGTTGACAACTGTGCTAGCTAGTTTTCTTTGTCAGTGGTTACTGACTCATTTAAAGGACTGGCAAATACAATAACTTCCAAAGATTTTAATTACAAATCTTACCTCAGTGTCTCTAACCAGAGAGACAACAGTGAACAGCTGAACTGTATAAAAGTCTGAACTGTCATAACAAAGTTGTGATCATTGTTAGCTGCTAACACTTTGCCAGTAGAGTCAGAAAGCTGGAAAAACAACTCGGGGCCTTACTCTGCAGGGGACTGAGCGCCTCCTACTAATTCCCCATGGACCCTTGCTTATCACTGGCGCCTAGCCACGAGGGTGATGGGCACTCCCGGAAGACCAGCGAGACAGCACCCCGCAGGACCGGCCATGGTTTGAATGGGCACCCTGGGGATCCAACACCCTCCTGCTGCAGCGCCCAGATGAACACACCAGTGACCGGCTTTGCCCTCCCCCGGGGAGGAACAGGAACCGGGGCAGCCTAGTTGCCATGTCCCCACTGGACTCGCTCCGGAGCCCGGGCCCGGCCTGCTCACCGTGCGCTTACAGCTCCGCCAGCCGCTCGGGTCCTTCCGGTAGAGCTGCACGGTGTCCGCCAGCGAGCGGACCTGCTCCTCGTAAGCCATGGCTAGCGACCGGCTCCGCTGCGGCGCTGCACCGGGCCGGCTGGAGGAGGAGCCGCCGCCCGCAGGGGGCCGGGCTCTCGCCGATAGGAGCTCCCAGCCTAGGCCGAGCCCAGCGCCTCCCACTCACCTGATGGAGCTGCCCGTGCCTTGGGAGGGACGCAGGGCTCCTGGGCGGGCCTCCCCAGCGCACGGGCCCGCTGCGCTTCCCAGGCCGCCAACCCCCGGCGGCGGGGGTTAGCAGTGCCCCAGCTGGGCGGCGCGGCGCCTGCGGGCTGCTCCATCCGCCCACCGCGCGGCCCCGGCTGCTCTGCCCGCCCCCGGCACAGCGCCCTGCCCCCTCTTCCCGAGCTGCCCAGTGCTGAGAGGGAGGGGTGTGTGGGTGTGTGTGAGAGAGAGAGGGGTAGGGAGGGGGGTGTGGGTGTGTGTGAGAGAGAGGGGTAGGGAGGGGTGTGTGTGAGAGAGAGGGGTGTAGGGGTGTGTGTGTGTGAGAGGGAGGGAGGGAGGGGTGTGTGTGAGAGGGAGGGAGGGAGGGGTGTGTGTGAGTGTGAGAGAGAGAGGGAGGTTGAGAGGGGTGAGAGAGCAGAGCATAAAACAAGCCATTGAACCTCACCCAGTAACCTCTGAATCAAGCTCATAACTTCTGTTCCAGCTCAGGTTTCTTCTGCTAGACTCCACACAACTATAAAATGTACTGTAGCAAGAACCCTTTACTTTATCCTTTTTCTAGGATAACATAGACCTCTTCAAACTATGGCATCTTCAGTTGGGACCGGGAAGATTATGCACATATTTGAGAGCTAGAGGAAGGTAAAATAAACTGCCCCTGACATACTTTTGCATGGGTTTAATTATTCCTGGTGCTCTATGCATATATTTTATTTTTACAATATATTTTTACTGTATAGTAATGAGCAATAATGCAGAAATACTTCTCTCTTCAGATTTTTGTAATGCCGCTGTGATGTGATACTAAACTTGGGTACAATTAAAATTAAACACACAGATAAAGAATGCTTTATCCACTTCAAACAGTTGTATGTACTGTAGTTCAGAAGACTATATTTCAATGAAGAGTCCTGGGGCACCTTAAAGACTAACAGATGTATTGGAGCATAAGCTTTCGTGGGTGAATACCCTGTTCGTCAGACGCATGTGTCTGACAAAGTGGGTATTCACCCACGAAAGCTTATGCTCCAATACATCTGTTAGTCTTTACGGTGCCACAGGACTCTGTTGCTTTTTACAGATCCAGACTAACACAGCTACCCCTCTGATATATTTCAATGGTCTTCTCTGGTTCAAATGGCAGCTGAAAGGTCTCTACAAATACATATGTTCATAACACAAAACAGAGGGAGCATTTTCCTAGACATTTGAACATATCAGTTCATTAGATTCAGACATCTTTAGGTCAACGCTAGCCTTTGGTTTCTTTCTGGTAAACTTTGCCCCAGATTTCAGATATTTCTCCTTATTATGAATGACTTGGATGTATTGATCATTGCTGCTGGTTTGCTGATCGCTGCTGGATCCAATGGAAATGGAATCCGACTCTGTTAGAGATTGTTCGAGCTTATGCTTGGATTTAGGTTTCACATGATGCTCTGGATAGGGCTGATCAAGATCCACATGTTTCATGTGTGACTTTTTGTGGGAATGTGGGGGCCTATCTCGTTCTAGCTCAAAGCCATCATCCCAGGATCTGTAGTGCACTTTGGCTAGATCCTTGCCAGTAAGGATTTGACTGTCCACACGTTCACCAATGTAAAATCGGGGACCTGGGCGAAGATCTGAGAGTGAGCGTGGACGGTAGGATCTGTTTATCAAGTCTCTCCTTAATTCCTCCTCCTCCTCTTCCTCTTCACTGAAGTGAGGGGAGTATGTCCTGTGTGGTGTTCGAACCACATATCTTCTGATGTTCCTTGGATATAATTCAACTATATCTCCTGACTCCTCCATTCTGAAATGCCTTGGGAGCCGGGAAGTGGAACGGAGAAACTTTTTGCGGGATTCATGTTCGTTAACAATAAAATACCTTGTGGTGGGCACTTTGCGTCCCACAAAAGCTGGAGCTCCCGCCCCAAGAGTGTCTGGATTTACTTGTTGGATACCTTTCCTAAAGAGAGGCTCAGAATGAACATCTTCAACACGCTTTTTGAAAGTCACAGGAGTGTAGGGCTTTGTTTTACAGAGCTCACTTGCACTTCCATGTACAACACTTGAATACCTTTAAAAAAAAAGAAGGAAGTAACATATTTATCCCCCAAATAGTCCTGCAATTAAGGTAAATAACCCATTTTTCTAAACAGCTGGGGAAACTAAGGCACTGAGGTTTAGGGACAGATTGTGAATCCCTTACTTACACAAAGATGTCCTTTTGGAGTCAAAGAGCTACTCATGTGAGCAAATGATCTACAATGTGAGTTTCATTCATAATCTGGTCCTAAGTGACTTGCCCAAGGTCACAGAAAAAGTTTGTGGCAGAGCAAGAAATCCAGCTCAGACATCCTAAGCAACAAGCGAGTGCCCTAACCACAAAGCCATCCAAAATATGTAACTCAATGAATGTTCGTTAAGGCTTAGATAATCCTCTGACATGTTGCTTCACCTTTACTATATTTGTCAATTTTGTGAAAAGAATATCCTATTTGAATTGCTTTTTAATGCAGTGTAATTTGGAGGGTTTTATCTTTACTTTAAACAAGTGTAGGAACTTTCTAAACTATATCCGCACAAAAATACTATAATCCACTCTAGCAATCAAAGGTGATTGCTACCATTCCATAGTAGCCAAGTGCCTGTGAGCAAAGCTGCTTTTAAAAACTATTCTGCCAATGTTTTGTTCATGACAAGAGTTAATTTGGATACACAAATTTTGTAAATAAAAACAAGTATTTCATGGAAATATTGAAATATATTTCATTTCAGAACTAGGAGACAGCCTCACCTGTTTGCAACCTGCTCAGTTCTACGCTTCTGTATGCTAGGAACAGAGGTAGTTGGTGTTAAAGTTGTTGGAGTTATATTTGCTGGCCTAGCAACATCAGCTTGGGGTACAGATTGTGAGATTGTTTGTATTCTGCTGCCTTTGGTCACTGGAGATTCAAAATTCAAGACGCTGCCATTCTTACGGGGTGTTGATGACCGAGCTGAGGACTCCTGATGGGGGAGGTCATTCTCCTGCTCTGGTCTTTTGTCATTTCCCTCTAGATTCTGGATACTGGCTAGAAAAAGCAGAGAGTGATTGTAACTTGAGCTGTCAGATCTTTAAGAAGGAAAACACATTGGCTCAACTTCAGCCTGCAGTAAATGGATGGCACTCCTATGGAATCCTTTGGGCAAATTCAGAGGAGATGAGCACTGAGCACCGAGATGGTGTGGTGATCCGAGTCCGTATAAGAACCCGGGTGGATAGATGGTGCCCAATGCATGTCAGGTACTTGTTGATCAGAAAATTGTTGAAAGTGGCAAAAGCATTGTAAATTGCACTGATTTGTCATTTAGTAGATATGCAAAATTAGTGTAATTTACACACCAAATCCATGAAATGAGGATTACAGGAAAAGAAACCAACCCGTATGTAAGATAAATCAGTCTCTTATGAAGAGCATCAGTTGCGCTTATATTGCACCATTACTAACAGCAGCGGGGCCAAATTCAGCTCTAATGTATGTGGGCAAAGCTTCCATGGACTTCAGTGGCAGTTGCACCAATGCCAAGAGCTGAATTTGTCCCGTCCCCCCCCCGATATTGGTGTAATTTACTGTATACTACCAATTGTAAACTATTACTGTATACTACATTCTCTATTACAAATAGTATACTATTGCTGCATATTACATTCCTACTTCTGACCCAACAAATAGCATATACCACCATTTATGTCTCTGTTGGATTTGGCCCAGTAAAAATTATTTTTTACTGAGGGATTTCATGAATGTACAGGTTTGAACACTATCAGCATTGTTACACAGTAATTAGTAGATAAAGGTGAAACCGAACATTCCATCTAGATCCAGATTCTGCTCTCATTACATCAGTGTCAATCCACAGAAATTCCATTTAAATCAATGAGTTACTACAGATTGACACTATTGTAAATGAGAGCAGAATCTGGCCCCATGATTTTAATTTGATTAGGCAACCTAAAGCCTTTAGAAGGTCTTTTGAGAGATCCACATTTCACTTATTATCAGTTGTAAAATGTATAATAATTTCCTCATAGCATAATCACCTTATAGGATAAAAACAATTACAGTGAATGCTAGGCTAATGCTAAAACTGACACTAGAAGTAGTAGGTTTATACAATACACAATATATTTTTTATTTGTACCTACTGTGCATACAAGAGATCAAAATGGCCAAATGCTTTCTTTATAGATGTATTTATAAAAGCTCCCAACTTACCTACTGCTATGTGAACCACCTTTTTCTTGTCTTCGGTTCTTTCCTAAAATATATATAGATATAGGGATGATTAACTAGTAGTTTGTATGTTAGAAAGCAAATGAGTTAGCAAATAAGAGGTATGAATACAGGATTAGTTTTATGTTGCAAAACACTTAAATCAACTTTAGAATTTTAATTAAGGTTAATGCTTTGTGAAAAGCCACCAAGGAGTGTGTAATAAATGCTTTCAATCAGTACTTACAGTTTGGATCTGCATTCTCAGTTGCCTGTTGGTGAATTTTAATGACCTTGCAATACTCTGCAGGTAATAAATTAGCATGCTAGAAGAGAGGAACACAGGGCTATCTGTGAATCACATCTGAAACGTTTCTAGCAATTTTCTTTCAGAAAGGCTCACATGTCACAGAAATGGAATATGATTTCAGTTCCTCTCCACAGTTTTTTCCTTTGCATTGGGACAGGAATGCAATGACAAACAAGCTTTTTGAAGGTCGAACAGTTAATTCTTTGGCATTTCACAGCTTAAGAGATAGGGGACATTAAAAACTAAATTTTCAACAGACATTTCCAATTGTGCATGCATTATTTGCACGTTCAAAAATCCCACCCTCTTGTTTAACATTTTAGGGCCCGATGGATCTGTTCTGATTCACACCAGTTGAGAATCTGGACCTTCATTCTGAGTACTGCACTCAGAAACAAAATAA